TTACAAAATTTAGCAGAAACTTTTTCAGTGCCATTCTGCCTAAGAATTTTGTATTACAAATGATGGAAACGCAGCTCAAAATAAAAGAATTTTCCATAATGATCTGAGTTTTTAATAACTGAGATCTTTTCTAAAAGGTTGGGGTTTTTTAATGTTAAAATATAGATAAATAAATAGATCACCAAGCTTCATTGCCTTATCATATGATTTTTTAACAAAAGAAATAGAAATAGATGGATAAAAATTGAAAAAGAATTATTCAGAATAAAATAAAAATATACCAAAGAACTAGCATTTCTTCTTACTGCGACACTTTTCTGAAATCATTCAAAATGAATTAACAAAAAAAACCCAATCAAAACTGCTTTAATTTTGTTGCTGACATGGACAGTAGGATCGAGTGCACCCTCAGCAAGCTTGCCGATGACACCAAGCTGTGTGGTTCAGTGGATAAGCTTGAGGGAAGGAATGCCATCCAGAGGGACCTTGACATGCTTGTGAGGTGGGCTGATGGCAACCTCATGAAGTTTAACCATGCCAAGTACAAGGTCCTACACCTGGGTCGGAGCAATCCCAAGCACGGCTACAGGTTGGACAGAGAAGAGATTCAGAGCAGCCCTGCGGAGAAGGACTTGAGGGTGTTGGTCAGTGAGAAAATGAACATGAGCCGGCAGTGTGTGCTTGCAGCCCAGAAAGCCAACCGTATCAGTATCCCTGGCTGCATCAAAAGGAGCGTGACCAGCAGGTCGAAGGAGGTGATCCTGCTCCTCTACTCTGCTCTCGTGAGACCTCACCTGGAGTATTGTGTACAGTTCTGGTGTCCTCAACATAAAAAGGACATGGAACTGTATGAACAAGTCCAGAGGAGGGCCACGAGGATGATCAGGGGACTGGAGCACCTCCCATATGAAGATAGGCTGAGAAAGTTGGGGCTGTTCAGCCTGGAGAAGAGAAGGCTGCATGGAGATCTCATAGCAGCCTTCCAGTATCTGAAGGGGGCCTATAGGGATGCTGGGGAGGGACTCTTCATTAGGGACTGTAGTGACAGGGCAAGGGGTAACGGGTTAAATCTTAAACAGCAGAAAGTTTAGATTGGATATAAGGAAGAAATTCTTTCCTGTTAGGGTCGTGAGGCACTGGAATGTGTTGCCCAGGGAGGTTGTGAATGCTCCATTCCTGGCAGTGTCCAAGTCCAGGCTGGACAAAGCCTTGGGTGAGATGGTTTAGTATGAGGTGTCCCTGCCCATGGCAGGGGGGGTGGAACTAGATGATCTTAAGGTCCTTTCTAACCCTAACTATTCTATGACTCTGTGATTCTAATATTTCCTGGTGTAAGGAAATAACACTAGGAATTAAGATGTAAATTGCCTATGTAGGACAACATATTTCTGTGACGGAAGAAAAAGGAGAGAGGAAATTCAGCCACCAAATGGAGGATATTTTTACATATAAATGTTTTTTTAGTGTCACTTTGAGCAATACAAAAAGGAGAAGTTCAAAAAACTCAGACCTATGCCTTATGCTTCTTCCCAGAATACCTGATATACCATTCCTGATCTTAGCCATGATCATTCGCAAATGTAATGCAAGCTGGCTTGCTAAACACAGGTTTTCACTATGATATGCCACTATTAGATACTGTATCAGAAAGGTCTGGAATGGACAGACAATGAGTCACCTTTTTCATAGTAAAAGGCAGGGTAAATTTATTTCTGGAATCCAAAGTTAAAAACTCAAATTTCTAACATTTTTACCATATAAATTTCATTTTGAAAGTCAGGTATATAAGTTTTAATGAAAATTTTGGGGAAAAAAGATTTTTACTGTTATTTTGATTTATCATTTTCCATCAGAGATTTTGGCAGAACTTTTTCTCAGCTTAATTTTTATGTTACATCCAAACATACTGCATTTTTCTCCCCTCTCCCTTTTATAACAGGTGCATCACTAGACATCCCCAAGCAGAGAGGGAGCCAAAAAACGCCACCTTCAGAGAATCCTTACTTCCATGTAAAACACATCAATTTGATTTTGAACAAAACCTCTAGACAGGACTTTTTAATGCAATAGAAGCAATTTTAAATTGTGTCTTTTCTGAAAGACTTTGTTTATTCTATTGAAGCACATACTATTTTTCCCATCTATCTCATATCAATGAGAGATAAGCATTGGTTTTGTCTATAGGATCTTGCTGTTATCCTTGGCCACCATATTAATGATCCAAATATATAGGCAATACAAATTATAATACATAGAAATGTGCATTTAGCTTGGTAAATTTAGGTCAACAAATGCCTGTTGTACTACACTGTGATAGGTAAAGAAAACCCTGGAGGCATTTGTTTCAAAGTCAATAAAGTCAGTCAGCATATTGACGCTAGTGTGTAGGGCAAAACTGCTCTTAATAAAATGTCTATAAGATTTAGAGACAGTCATATGTATCACCACCTTCTCCCTAGCAATAAAAGTTTCATTTCTGATACTGCTTGTCTAAATTAGTCATGTGGGTTTATATTTCTCATTTTTTTTAAGAATTAGGCCTGCTGATTGCCTGCATTTCCTCTTGCATTCAGTAGATTTTTTGGTGGACACTGGGATCCAAGATCATTTAGATCTGTGAGTGTTAATGCCAAGGTGCAATGCAATAGGTTTTCTAATGCAAGGATGAAACTGAGTATAAATAGAGAGGACAAGGTTTCTCAGGCAAGAGGTGATGTGCATTAGATGCACATAGAAAACATGCCATATTTAGGTACACATGAGTGTCGGAGGGAACTGCAGGAGGTGTCGTGACTGTGGGCAGCATTGTGTTCTTTAAATCAATAAAGAAGCTGTGGCTTTCTATGGTATTGGACACATATGACCTGCACTTGCGTTTCTGCAGTTGAAGATACTTTCTGTCATAGCCAGGGGAAAACGGTTGTTAAGGATCAATATAGCAATGTCTTATCTTTCAGACACACATGCTAATCACTAAGGAAGGAGTTTCTTGTACTCCCCTGACACTGGATTTGTTGCCATGGCCATAGTTCACTCTCCTGAGCAGGAGCCCTGTTCCAGTATCAGCAACAGCTCATCTTCCTAAACCACAACTTGCCTCTGTAACATGTGCAGAGTTTCCAAGTGCTTGCACAACAGCAATAATCTGGCAACTCCTCCTTTTTCTTACATCCTACTTACCCTGTCATGCACACAGCAGGCATTTCTGCCGTTGCACCTTATGGCCATGAAAGATTGCAATGGAATTTGCCCTGGAAGCCACAGTTTCTTTTCCCTGTCTCTTCTTTCCATTCTCTGCCTGTTGGGACACAGAACGGTAAGGATGGTGATGAACAGATGCCTAGGTAAGGAGTCACTGTTAGCAGAAGTCATCCTTAGAAATCTTACTCTGCCTTAGCAACTTTGCAGACAACCCTGCATGGTGAAGACCTTTCCCCAGTCACCCTAGGTCTCAGCCCCTCACATCCTATCATAAGCCCATGCACCCTTCCCATGCCAGCTCTAACAGCTCATGTGTCTGCTGACAGCATAAGCCTGCCCACCAAGTATCTCTCTGTAAACACTAGAAACCACAGAGCATCTACTGTTTCTTTGATTTGTAAACTTCCTTCCATTGACACTAAGAAAACCGTCTGCTGATTAGGATGTGATGCGAGGTATGGGCATAAGCTGAAGTTCCCAGTTGTTCATGTTGAAAAGATACAATAGTCATGATACAACTGAGGAAAAAAACCAGCAAAATATGGGAGTTGTGCACATCTGCATTAGAGATATGATCTTATTTTCCATGTATGCTCTATATTTACTCATCTGAGACTGCTGTTTGTAGCTGTCATTTGAGACAGGTTTTATAGGGAAAATTTATACTGTTTCCTACCTCAGCTCTCTCAAGCTATTGTTCTAATTTCTGTATTTATTTTTCATAATCTGAGCAAGAATCAGACCTGTTATGAGAACAAAGCTCTCTTAAACCTATAAGGGAGGGAATTCTTTATGTAAATAATTAATTCTTATTAGCTCAAAGGGAGCATTAGGAGCCAGGAACCAGCCCTACATAAAATAGGCTATAGAGACGTGGCTGTGTAAAGCTGAAAGAACCAGTACCAGGAAATGCTTAAATGATGCACAGTGAAAGGAGGAAGCCAGCAGGAATGCGGCTCACAGGGAAGGACTCTGAGGTACAAGACTGAAGTATGTTGTACATGCTGCTACCACAGCACCTTGCCCTTTATTCAGAGCCCTGTAGATTTAGCACCCCCCAGAGGATACAGTAGTTTTCCATATGACTCATTTTTTTAAGACTTCATACTCCCCCCCATTACTTCAGGATGCAATGAGTGGAACTATTGTATAGTATTTCTGTGCCCAGTTAAACAGTTCTTAGTTTTCAACTTATTGGTTCTTCAGAGAAGTGTAAAGAGGTACCTCTGTATTAGATTCTGCAAAGCCTCTGGCAGATATTATATAAATGCAAATATATTATTTTAAAGCATGCTAACACTGGAACCCAGAGGGATGAATATAATTTTGGTTTTTATTTTCAGTGGAAAAGAAACTGAAGCTGAAAATAAAATATGGTTCCCGGATAGTCAGCCTACTGTATACAGAGGATGGGGAAACTAAATGAAACCTATTCACAGTAGGTTAAAGTTGGCCACAAGAGCAGCTGACATTGGAACATTACTAGAGAGACCATGTTGTTGCGAATTTATTGACAGCTTCATGAACAGCAGAAATAAATAGTGCACTGAGTTTTAATTTTAGGGTAAATTTGTGCCTTGCTAAACTAAAGACCCCAATGATGTCTGCCTAAAGCAACTAGTTCCACCTCCGTGCTTTTAAGAAACACTGATAAAAGATACTTCAACACTGAAATTGGTACACTGTACAGCATGTGTGTTATCTTCATATGAGTTATCAATAAGCATTACTTTCAAGGATTGATATAATCTTACATTGCAGTTAAAATAAATCAGCTTTAAAAGTAGGAGGTCCTCTCCTATGATAATGGTCTGAAGAAAGATTGACTGCATTCTCCAACTTCCTCAGCACCATACCCCAACAAAGGGACACCAGAGCTCTGGTGAGAACTTTGTGCACAATTAAAGCATTTTATACCCATAAAAAGACAAAGAGTGAGTCTTGAGGACACACAATCTGTGCCAGATGGGTACCTGCAATCAAGTAATTGCAATTGCCTTTTTTCTTTTTTTTCTGAAAGTGCTACCCTTCCTTGGATACTACAAGGAGTGAGGACAAGGATCTCCAAAGCAAGGGCCTGACAGCATTCAAGCATCAGATTCAAGCACAACTCCTTTGCGACTGCTTGCACCATCCAAATGTATTTGAACCTGTAACATGAAAAGTATTTCTTAAGTCATCAGTCTGATTTAGTTTCTCTCATGTTATTTAATTCCAAACATGCTGGTCTTGTGTGCTGTGCAGCCAAGTAAGTCTAGGTGATCTGCCTGGATCCAGACACATAACAACAGTAGACTCTCATGAAAATTCCTTATGAATTTGTGTTCTTCTACAGACTAAGTCACAAGCACAAATGTTTTATACTGTAGTCTTCACCCTACTCTGGACATTTGACCTGGAATACAGATAATTCAAGTAGCACTTGGATGCCTGGTAAATATAAACTTTAGTAGCTATGCTTCCGTGAGGGCCCCAGCTGATTGTCTCTCTGATTCATTCACCGTCTCTGTCCTTTTCCATCAAAAAATGTCATCCCAGAAGGCAGATGTCCATGCCTGAAAAAAAAAAGTCTGCCTATGCACACGATGACTGTCCTTGTCTTGACCCATACAATACAACTGCACCAGTTGTGATGAATTTCTGTACTTGAGAAGAGACAAATATTACCTTTAAGTAAAACTTTAGGGTAGCAGATTCAGGCAACTTGGTCTAATTGTTTTTTTTTGTAACTCAAAACATTGTGAAGAATAATTATGAACAGTTTATAAGTGTAAATAAACAGTGCATAGTTAGCAGGAGTCAGTACTAATTATGTGGTAATAAGATTTCTATTATGAATTCTTCATGTTATGAACTCAGAAGTAAAATAAACAATTGCTGGCCAGAGAAGTGACCTAAAGACAAACTGGCCTATTTTTGAATGTGGGAACCACATGAACTTCTGAGAGAAGCTGAGGTTTTTGTTGTGATCTTGATGGGAGAGCATTTACACAGACAGAAATGTAAGGAAGAATATGTGCAGAAGGACAAAGTATTATTACCGTATACAATGCCTTTTCTGCCACAGACTGTGAGAAAATACTAACCTGCTATTCCACAGTTGCTGCCTTCTCCAAGCAAACGAGAATATCCTGTTTCTATTGTACCAAATCTTCTAACAGTAAAAGAGTATTCAAATCTTATATTGCCAAAGTTAATTATCAGCATGAAAAATTTGCTCTCCACGATTTATTCAGAGAATAGACATTAAAAGATATGGTCAGACTAAATAAACACAATAAACTTTACTGGACAGAATAGAATATGATTGCAAATTATTTTAAAGAAGGGATGGGAGAAATTATTGCTTTAGAGGCAAGGTCTTCTAAAAAGTCCTAGGAAGGATGATGTTTATGTTTAGAAATACTGATACATCCTTAAACATCCATTTTCCCAAATGAATTATTTACTGTCTCACATACTGAACATATTTTTGTGTTCAACTATTGTTCACTAGTTAAGTGTAATTTCCTTGACTTATCCATTATTTAGCTATGCTTCACACTTATTTGATGATAATGCCTCACCAGGGATTGATCATTCATTCAGTATTTCAGTCTTATATAATACAAATTAAAGCTGTGTTGGTTAATTGTAATTATTCTCGCATGTCACATGCTATTTTTCCTGAATGAATGAATGAATTTAGTGATTATAATCTTAACAAAGGCATAAAGATGTCAGTAGAGTCTGAGTTTCCCAGGAACAGGCATTCATTTAATGAGCAGTTAAAGATAAAAACTGCATCCTGAGGATGCTGACAGCACTTTCTTAAAAGTCCATGTCTCTCTTTTGTTTTGGCACCTTGAAGGAGAAAAATCACTTACAGACCAGGTCAGACTGTAATGTCTAAGGGCCTTGAAATGGGCTAAAGAACATATTTTTTTTTCTGAACCGGGTCAAAGCAAATAATTATATAGGGCTGTTTTGAAGTATCATACCACAAAGTGAAGGTTATAAAACAGTTCAGTTTTCTAATTTTATACCTTTTGATTGTTTGACTTAGAAGCTTAACTTCTGAATTGCATGAGATAACTTTTATGTAACTTAATTTACTTTCAGCTGTACCTGTAAGTTTTGGGTTTGAGTTTCCTGGGTTGCGGTTTTTTTTTGGTTTTGCTTGTTTGTTTGGTTTTGGTTTTTGTTTTTTTGGTTTTGTTTTGGTTTTGGTTGTTTTTTTTTTGGTTGGTTGGTTGGTTGGTTTTGTTTGGTTGTTTTTTTTTGCTGGGGGTGTTTGTTTTGGAGGAGAAGGGGATTCAGATAGGTTATCATTTTCACTGAAAGCTAAACAAGATATTCAGAACCTTGAGAGAGTAAGCAAAATTATCATGTTGTAGCTGCTACTGTTTGCTATACCTGCTATAACTGTTTCAGTAAACTATAAACTGATGGACTGAAAAGCCTGTAAAAGTGACCACATACTCAACCTCATCCTTTTCTAACCATGATTAGAATATTAGTCATAGTAGCAGGTGATGTCTGCTTAATGTTTTGCAGAGAAAAGAAAATATTTCAATTTCTCCTCTTTTTCATTGCTGACAAAAAAGTGTAGACTTCTGAACCTTTCCATATGCATAGTTGTTTTTAAGGTTATGGCTGCAGTCCCCTTTACATCAGTACTAATTTAATCCTTAACACATTCTTGAATTTCAATGCATGTATCATTTTGATTAACAAGAGATCAGAAAATGTATTTAATTAACCTGCATTGCTATTGTCTCAAAATCAACTGGTCAACATCTCAAAGAATGAGAATGAACTTGAAAGAGAGATATTGCCAGAGTACGCTTGATTGTTTGTTTGCTTCCTTACCTGTGTGTCAATAGAAAAGGAAGGGTTATTGGAACAGATAACTGATTTTTTTTTACAGTTCTTCCACGATATCTTTCTCAAAGCATGGTCTGTGAAAAACTTCTGGTTCTCAGTATGTGAGAAGGTTGTCTGGAAAATTACAAAGAAATTACACGTTTCTACTTAGGAGGCAAGCAAGTCAACAAATAGAATAGTCAATTGCTAAGGTGAGTAGCTCAAGAGAGGACGCCTTCAACACAGGAGCGGGGAGGAGATCAGCGTCCAGGAGCCTCAACTCAGAGTGGCAAAGGCCACCAAGGGAGCCTCAAGTCCTCGACAGGACCTGCCCGGGAGCCGGCAGCTCAGCTGACGAGAGCGAGCAGCTGACTCACAGGGGGCGGAGCCTGAAGCAGCGGCACCAGCCCTGATTGGTTAAAACCTGCCCCAGGGAGCGCGAGCGACCAGGAGCGTGGTGAGGCAGTTCGAGCGGGATGGTGAGCACTCGTCGTATGACCAGGGCCTGGTCCAGGAGCTCTGCTCTGGCTGCCCCGGCGGTGGCCAGCGTAGGCACCCAGACAGAGCCGATGAGAGGGGAGGCTGCAGTGCAGAGCTTGGGGTGTAGAGAGTGCCTGCACTGGTCTGGTGAGGGAATGGTGCACAATGGGCAGGGCTGCACTCGGTGTTCCCTGGTGGAGGTCCTCCTGCAGCAGGGGCTGAGCTGCGGGATGCTGTTAATAGACTGCAAGATGTCGGGGGAGCTGAGAGGAAGCAGGAATGCTTGCTCCTGGCCCAAACTGAGCAGGGGCCTCAAGCATCCATTGTAGCTCATGAAGGAAAGAAGGAGGCCATTAACCCAGGAAGCTGGGAAATAGTCACAAAAAAAAAAAACCAACAAAAAAAGGAGGAAAAGGACAATCAAAAGCAAGAGGCTTCCCCCTAAATCTGTTGTCCCCACACAGAACTGCTTTGCTGTCCTGCAGGGGGCTAATGAGGAAACGCACTTGCACCAGAAACAACTGGCTGATGCACTGCTAAAGAAGATCTCTACTGGTGCTGCCAGGAAAAAGCGGCGGGTTGTAGTAGTAGGGGACTCTGAAAGAGACAGAAGCACTCGTCTGTCGACCTGACCCCGTCTCAAGGGAGGTGTGCTGCCTACCGGGGGCACGGATCAGGGATGTTGCAGAGAGGCTGCCTGCTCTACTAAGTCCCACAGACTATTACCCACTCCTGGTGATAACATGTGGGTGCTAGGGATATAGATAGTAGTAGCCTGGGGAACATAAAGAAGGACTACAGAGCCCTGGGGGAGGTGGTCAGGGGCTCTGGAGCTCAGGCAGTCTTTTCGTCAATTCTCCAGGATAAGGGGGGGGGGGGAACTAAAAAAAACTAGGAGGATTAGCCAGGTTAATAAATGGTTAAAAGGGTGATGTCATAGTCAGGGGTTTGGGTGTCTTGAACACAGGACCGAAATTTGTAGGCCAGGTCTAGTGGGGGTTGGTGGAGCTGGTCTGATGGTAAAGAAGGGAAAGAGCAGTTTTGGTAGGAGGCTTGCCAGACTGGTCAAGGAGGCTTTAAACTAGATGTGTTGGGGGAGGGGGGCATCATTCCATCCCAACACACCCAGTCAGTTGCCAGCACCTATAATAAATGCCTGGAGCAGTGCAGAGATATCCCAGCCACTCCAGCCAATGAGCCAGCTTCGTTTGGAGCTCGGCTCAGATGCCTCTATACAAACACCCATGGCACGTGGAACAAATGAGGAATTAGAGATGTGTGCACGTCTACGGGGGCATGATATAATAGGCATCACAGAAACATGGTGGGATGGCTCCTATGACTGGAGCGTTGCAATGGAAGTTTACAGGCTCTTTAGAAAAGACAGGCCCAGCAGGTGGGGAGGGGGAGTTCCCTTTATGTTAGGGATAGGCTGGAGAGTATGGAACTCTATCTGGGGACAGGTGATCTGTCAATAGAGAGTTTGTGGGTCAGGGTTAAAGGGAGAACAGCGATGTAAGACATTACTGTGGAGATCTGTTAAAGACTGCCTGATCAAGAGGACTCTGTGGATGAAGCACTCTACAGAGAGATAGGAAAAGCCTCACACTCACAGGCCCTTGATCTCATGGGGCACTTCAGTCACCCTGACATCTCTTGGAATGATGGTATGGCCCAGTACAAGCAATCCAGGAGGTTCCTAGATTGTGTGAAAGACAACTTGCTCCTGCAAGTAATAGAGGAACCCAGAAGGAGCGGTGCCATGCTTGACCTCGTGCTCACCAACAGGGAAGGGCTGGTTGGAAATGTGACGCTCCAGGGCAGCCTTGAATGCAGCAATCACAAGATGGTGGAATTCGAGATCCTCAGGACAGTGAGAAGAGCGTGCAGCAAGCTCACTGCTCTAAACTTTAAAAGAGCAGATTTGGCCTCTTCAGGAACCTTCTTAGTAAGGTCTTGGGCCCCCCTGCCCTAGAGGGCAGGGGGGCCCAAGACTCATGGTTGATATTCAAGGCTCACCTGCTATAAGCTCAAGAGTGTTGCATCCCAACTAGAAGGAAGTGCAGCAGGAGGGCCAGGAGACCTCCTTGGGTGGATAAGGAGCTCCTGAGGAAAATTCAAACGAAAAAAGAGGCTTATAAAAGGTGGAAGCAAGGACAGGCAGCCTGGGAAGAGTACAGAGGTGTTGTCTGGGAAGCTAGGGACAAGGTTAGGAAAGCTAAGGCCCCAAGTTTAGAATTAAACTTGGCTAGGGATGTTAAGGATAACAGGAAGGGAATCTTCAGGTGCGTAGCAAATAAAAAAAAGACTAGGGACAATGTAGGCCCCCTCAGGAGGCTCTCAGAAGAACTGGCTAGCCAGGATTTGGAGAAGGCTGAGGTTCTGAATGACTTCTTTGACTCAGTCTTCACTGTCAAATACTCTGATCGCACCACCCAAGTCTTGGAAGGCAGATGCAGGGACTGTGAGAATGAAGACCTTGGACCCACTGTAGGAGAGGATCTGGTTCGAGACCATCTTAAGAACCTGAACGTGCACAAGTCCATGGGACCTGATGAAATCCATCCGCAGGTCCTGAAGGGGCTGGCAAATGAAGTTGCTAAGCCACTGGCCATCATGTTTAAAAAATCATGGCAGTCAGGTGAAGTTCCCAGTGACTGGAAAAAGGGAAATATAACCCCCATTTCAGATGACCTGGGGATTTACAGACCAGTCAGTCTCACCTCTGTGCCTGGCAAAATCCTGGAGCATGCTGGAAGGCATGCTAAGGCACATGAAAAACAACAAAGTGCTTGGTGACAGCCAGCATGGTTTCACTAAGGGGAAATCCTGCCTGACCAATTTGGTGGTCTTCTATGATGGGGCTACCCAAGTGATGAACAGGGGCAGAGCTTCTGATGTCATCTACCTGGACTTGTGCAAAGCATTCAACACTGTCCCACATGACATCCTTGTCTCTAAATTGGAGAGACATCAATTTGATGGATGGACCACTCGGTGGATAAAGAACTGGATGGCTGCACTCAAAAAGTTGTCGTCAATGGCTCAATGTCCAGCTGCAGTCCAGTAGTAAGTGGTGTCCCTCAAGGATCTGTGTTAGGACCGGTCTTGTTCAACATCTTTGTCCGTGACATGGACAGTGGGATTGAGTGCGCCCTCAGCAAGTTTGCCGATGACACCAAGCTGTGTGGTTCAGTTGATATGCTAGAGGGAAGGAATGCCATCCAGAGGGACCTTGACACACTTGTAAGGTGGGCTGATACCCACCTCATAAACAGATTCAGAGCAGCCCTGCGGAGAAGGACTGGGGGGTGTTGGTTGATAAGAAAATGAACATGAGCCGGCAGTGTGCACTTGCAACCCAGAAAGCCAACTGTATCCCTGGCTGCATCAAAAGGAGCATGACCAGCAGGTCAAAGGAGGTGATCCTGCCCCTCTGCTCTGTATTGTGTGCAGTTCTGATGTCCTCAACATAAAAAGGACATGGAACTGTTGGAACAAGTCCAGAGGAGGGCCACGAGGATGATCAGGGGACTGGAGCACCTCCTGTATGAAGATAGGCTGAGAAAGTTGGGGCTGTTCAGCCTGGAGAAGAGAAGGCTGCATGGAGATCTCATAGCAGCCTTCCAGTATCTGAAGGGGGCCTATAGGGGTGCTGGGGAGGGACTCTTCATTAGGGACTGTAGTGACAGGACAAGGGGTAACGGGTTAAAATTTAAACAGGGGAAGTTTAGATTGGATATAAGGAGGAAATTTTTTTCCTGTTAGGGTCGTGAGGCACTGGAATAGGTTGCCCAGGGAGGTTGTGAATGCTCCATTCCTGGCAGTGTTCAAGGCCAGTTTGGACAAAGCCTTGGGTGAGATGCTTTAGTGTGAGGTGTCCCTGCCCATGGCAGGGGGGTTGGAACTAGATGATCTTAAGGTCCTTTCCAACCCTAATTATTCTATGATTCTCTGATTCTATTTACAGAAAACATCAACATTCAAGATTTAACTTAATTTTTATCTATAAAATCAAAATCAGCAGCTCTGCAAATGATGATATGTGGGGTTTTCTGAAAACATTAGACAATTTTTCAAACAATAAGGTTATTGGTTGGCGAGTGGTGAGGTGTTGTATTCTCTTCCCTTGTTATTTCCTTTATCATTGTTCTTTATCATGATGTTCTTTCACCAGAAAACAGATACCGTCTTCTTAAAGACTTCTTTTAAAGTTTATGTGTGACACAAACTCTCAGCTTCTAAAAAAAGAGGTTTCCAAACTATAGCCTAGGGTCCCTGGGGAAATTCCCTGGAACACAAGTGGTCCACAGAAGGTAAGATGCCTGCTGAAAGCTTATGTTGCCTACCTCAGACCTGCTCCCTCAATGCAAACAAATCGAGGGCTTGCTTCTTGTAAACATCAAAATCCAGATCTAGGCAACCTAAATGGTTTGTAAACAATCTTATGACATGAAATGTTTGCATTTATTGTTTATTTTGCAGTGTGTTCATGTAAGTACCATTATTTAAAATACATTTCTGTCAAGAAAACACAAATATTAGAACACACTAAAGAAATTGTGAAGTAAAAATACATGAAACTTGTTTAAAATGAGCTTCAAAGGTCAACATTGCTTATAATGCTCATCTCTGGATGTAATTCATTCTAAGGTAGTCTTTGGAGCATCCCTTATCTAACTAAATGTGAAGCTTAACATAATTTTACCAATATCTGGCTATGCGTATATAAAAATTTTGGATCTGAAGAGAGATTCCATATTAAGGAACCAATTTGCACATAGTTTCATAAATTAAAGCCACATGACAAAAATCCTAAATTACAAATAAAGAAATTAATTCCATTTTATAGCCAGTACTATCAAGAAGTCCACTGCCTACTCTGTATTTCAGTTGTTGTGATGCCTCCAGAAATCTATCTGTCTACAGAAACTCAAAACAGTCTGAATCTTACAGATGACTTAACTTTTGTCATTGCTTGGCATGGATCTCTTACCACAGAGACAATCAATTTGTCTGAATCAATGCAATCTGAACAATGGAATAAAGGGAAAACTCTTCACAGCAAGAAACATTTAATTTCATTCCTGAGCAAAGACAACTCTGATCATGTATTTTGCTTGCCAAGCAAGACAACTCCATTCTTAGGGACTTAACAGGCATTGTGGCAAAGGACATGAAAATGGACATGAAAATTCTTTTTGTTTCCAGCAATATTAGGGCACAACTCTCTGAATCGTAAATCCCTATGACTATTTTACATTAAGCCTTGTCAAACTTGGAACATGATATTTGCCATCGTGATCTGGTTACAGCTCGTCACTCCTGCGGTCACAAACCAGTAACTGTATTTTAGTATTTCTGTGCAAAGCAGCAAAGAGAACAGAATGTAAGGTATTAATAAACTTGAATAAAAACAATAATAATTTTCTTTATAATCACTTGGAGAGCTTAGGGACAGCTCAATATTCTTCCTCCAAAAGATATGAAATCTCAGTTTTTCAAATTTTTTCCCCTTCTAATTTTGTCTGTTCACCTACTTCCAAAAGTAACCATAGTTAGATAAGCCACTATTTGCACCATTGGAAATCACATTCAAGTAACAATTTTGCTTATGAGTAATAAAGAAAATATAAGCAGTGATTGCATTAAGTTTATTTATAAAACACATATGACATTCATTGTTGAGAAGCCAGGATTGTAAAATTAAAGGGATAGACTCTAAGCCTTTGAATTATTGATAATAAGAGGATGACTGTTTTTTTTTAATGATGTTGGATTATTAAAGGGGGGTATTAAAGAAAATAATTGTGAAAACTCCTTTGTTTTATACTTCTTAGATCCTGGAAAAAGATTAACTTGCTGAAAACTTGCAGCATTTTTTTTTTCTTTTTAGAAAGCAATGGGCTGAAGTTTCCTTAGAAATAGTTAAACTCCATTCCACAGTTCTTGCTCAATTTGCCTTATCTTTGAAGGAGGATTTTCCTAAGCCAAAAAAAAAAGCTGCTGCTTGACCCAAATGATTACACCAGTGTCTGAAATATATTTTGGTGGCTTTAATTTTTTGAAAGATACTAGCGTGATTCCAATACAGTTTAACCAACAGGAGCTTTATGGTACAATATTCACCATAGTTATTAAAAGCATAAAGTCCTGAAAGACACAGAATTTACCAGAGCAACATTTTTGTGGGGAGTAAATCTCTTACTTTTGAAAAATAAATATTTCTTTAATCACATATTACAGACATCTTAACCACAGATTTCTGAGCAGCACATCTGTTCCCATGTCCACAGTGACGCACCTTGTGGTGACATGTCCCATCTATTTATGTCAAGTGGGCCATGTTACGTCAGCAGGACACCATATTTAAGAGAATAGGGAATTCTTATAATACAGAGAAATATATACATCACTGGGAATATACATGTTTGCATGTGTGTGCTAAAAGGAAATGAATGCCTTTATATTAAAAAGAAAGATCTTTATTTAGTTCTTATTTAGTTCTGATTTCAGTGGCCAATTAAGCTCAGGATGTGGACGCATGAAGAAAAAAATGTGCCTATGTGGTATGAATGCAGGGGGCTTCCTCTGTTTTTTAACGGAAGTGCAGTAAGCAAAATATCTTAATATGGAAGGGTATTGATGTCTTCCTGGCTACATTTAATACTATTGTCCCGTTATATATCCAATTGTGATATCCAAATTCTTCCAGTTTTTCCAAGGGAATAGCAGTTTCTGAGAAGTTTTTAAATATGATCTGCTGCTACTTTTTTCCTATTTGAGATACTGGAATTTTAAGTGTCTGGTATTTCTGATTTCTTGGAATGTTTCCAAAATGTTTCTGACTTGAAACCAACTAACTTGGCCTAAGAATATCACATTCTTTTGGTTCAGTCAGCAGTATTGACTGTTAGTATCATCAGAAGTTTTTTTAGAATGCGCTGGTTTGTTCATTGAAAGCTAGATACTGTAATATACACATTTCAGACTAAAATCACAGAGGCAGACAGAAATTTTAGCTACACAGGAAAGAGAAATTAGAATCAGCTATACAGCTAATCCTGTAATATTAACTCTTCACTGCTCAAAATCAAAAATCAATTATACAAACCTAAAGTAGGCAAGAAATTCCTCAGCCTATGAAAGAGTGATGAAGAAAAGAGAAAAAGCCTCACAAACTTTAAACAATTCACTATGCAGTGTTTTGTACATGGCTTAAATGACAACACGAAATAGTGCTGTGTGTTTTTAGATTAGACACAGCAGTTAGCCCAAAAGTTAAGTAGTAAGAAGTTTTGTTACATGTCACTACATGCTCTAATTTTCCCTCCAAATAGATTTCCCATAGTTAGAACTGAAAGATTCTATTAAAAAGAGACCACACATGGAAGAGGACAGCCTAGGTATAAAAAAAATGTAATACAACTAATTTTTTTGGCACACTTGAGATTAAGATCAGGGATTTCTGCTTACTATTCCACTTGCTATGTTTATGTATGTTTACCTACAAAATGATATTCCTATAAACACACCTAGCCCTTGCAGCATTCATGAGCAAATTTTGCAAATATGTACAAAGTAATTTAAGAACATAAAATTTGCCCTATTTAAGACCCTAAAAATAAACAAAAATATTTTGAGTTTATGTGGAAGCTTGCCAGCATAAACAAAATTAGACACTCTTAGCAAATTCCCAAATTCCCTCTCCTCTTTTCCATACACTTCACTCCCTGCAGCTTTGTTCCTTCTGACACTCATTTACTTCATTGCAAAATGACTATAAAATGCTGCTTTTCTGATGTGCAAGCTATGAGATTACGTGGGTTACTTTAGGAATGCATTTCCAGATTTTCAACCTTTTTCTTCTTAAAGTACAAAGTATGAATTAATTTGTTAAAGTAAAATACAATGCTCTATTTTAACATTTTCCTGAAAGGCACCAACCTGTTAAGTTCGAATAGTGCTATATTTGGAGCTTCTCACTTTTGTCACAAATAGTTTGGCAGATCTCAAAAGAAAACCTTCTACTCTCTCATTTCCTAACTTCACAAGCTGCCTTTTTAATACTCTATTATTTTCAAAATTTTAAACAGGTGCAAGGCTGGACTTAGTGTTTTTGCAACCAGTAAGAGTGGATCCATTTCCAGCCATAATAGCAAGGATCTGAAGTATATCACAAAAAAATGGAAGTTAAATATTCACTTCAGAAATTTAAGACTTGGCATCTATTCCACAAGAGGGACCCAGTTATTTCTGCTTTCACCAAATAATCCTTGAGCTTTGTTTAAACATTCTTCAGCATTTGCTTCTTTCCTCCATGAGCTATGTTAAATGAAACCAGCTGAGTTAGCAGTGGCCTATCTGAATATATCATCAATAAACTTTAAAGCTTTGAAACATCTGCTTTCTAAAGAAAATTCCAACCTCGATCAAAATTTGCCACAGTATTCAGAAGTTGTATCAGAATTATTTCCTTCCACATACAAGGACAGACTGAGAAAATCAAAGGCACTTTGGAGCTGACAAACTGTCCCCTACTATTCATGAAATTGAGAAAATAAAATAAACAAGACCCATTTATACAGTAGAGTCATCCAAAGCACAGACCTTTGTGGCAATAATAAATGCAACTAACTTTGCATCTACCAGAGACCGTCCCAATTTGGGGCATTCTGAGCAGTATTTGTAAAAGCTAATCAGGAAAGCAATTATTGGATAAAAATAAACATTCTTCTAGGAGCTGAAACTCAAAAGTTTGCAAAATGAAAATTAGGTCTAGCAGCTAAGAATTTTACATGAGTAGAACATGAGCATGAATGTAAACAACTTATTGGAAGGGTATTGGTAATTTATAATCAAACAAGTGGGATATATTTAGTATCGTTCCATAGCTTCCTGTTCTGGGTGTGGTCTATTTTTCATCAGGGACATAGATAATGAAATAACATATTTGTTCAATTTGCAAAAAATGCCAGACAGGGACAACCCACAAGCATTTGGCAAGGCAGGATTAGAATTCAAAGTTGTCTCAACGAAACTGTTTTGAAAAACAAGATTCAGTTCAGAGAGAGAACCAAGCACTACGTCTAAGCTGGAATAAGCTGAATACACATACAATGAGAAACAAGTAGGTAGGCAATGGTCAGGAGGAGGCTTAGAGGACTACACACTGAATCTGAGACATAAGTGCTATTATCTATTGTGAAAAAAATATTGTCTAAATCCTATAAAGAATAATATATTTTTGACATTAAATCTACATCATTAAATTTAAGATTTAATATCACTGGGCATAAAAGCCTCAAAGTGGAGTTCAATTTGAAGCACCATCAGAAAAGCTCTATAATAATAAGTAATTGCGTAGGAAATATGGTGAATTAATAAAGATGTAACTAAAGAGCAAAAGATATAGGAGAGAAAGAGAAGAAATACCTTCAAATGAAAATGTGGTCATGACTAAAAGGAAAGAAATTAATTATCTTCAATGTTCATTGGAAATGAGTGGTAATTTAAGGTAATTCAAACTAACAGAAGAGGTTGGACAATACAAAAAAAAGCAAAAAAGGAAAAAGCAAAAAGTAGAAACAAAACAGCTCAGAGATGGGATGGGAAAGCTGAGCACAAGCAGAGACAGTTCAGGAATATTGCAATATCTCCATCATAAGATGATGTTTACTTATGGTTTAGACATAATCTATCCTTCCTTAGGGAGGGAATACGGAGTAGGCAAAGACTCAAGCTATGGTTAAGAGTTTGTGTCCATTTTCAAAACACCCCAAAACTGCTAAAATCTTGTGCATAACGTTGTATTGTGAATAACGTATTCATAATGGTAGAAATGAGACACTACAAGAAATCTTACAACTGCCTCACTCTTTTCAAGCTTTTTTTAGATAAAATTCCAGGCTGAATTTCAGTCTAACCACAATTGCTGGTGCATTTGTTATGCAAGTGAAAGAACGTTTAAGGATCAGTAGCAACTCCCTACCATAAGCACAATACAGTTTTGAGAAAAAATTCCAAGTGTAAAATTCATTTCTTAAAGCCCTTGATGGTTGAATCTGAGCCTGATGACAGAGCAGGCAGCACATTAATTTTACCTTCTAGCAAGCTCAGCTATGTTTAAAACAGAAAGTCATGCTACGAATTGGAAATACATCCTCTAAACAAGAATTAATAGATAGGTCATAATACAGATACATAAATACTTTTATCAAAATGTGTCAGTGTTTATAAGGTTTCAAAGACAGAAGAAATACACCCTTTATACTGTTTTCTTTTTATAACATTGTCTTTCCATTTTTTTCTTCACTAACACTCAGACTAGCTGTAAGGGGGTTTTTACTTCCTATTCAGAATCTTTTGTCACCAAATTGTAAATCCATAGCTAACATATTTTTAGCCCCATATATAATTTAATAAATAT